GGGGGTCGGTGGCCGTTTGGGCTGGGCGGGAGCCAAAGGCGGGGACCTTGGCAGTCCGATCCTCGGCTACAGAAGCTAGCTCTCGGGACATGGAATGTCACCTCTCTATCGGAGAGTCACCTTTCTGATTTATTATATTTATTCTACAAATATATTGCTAATGCTTTATTTTATATTGCACTTATATTGAACTGTGTACAGTTCTTTTCTGAAACATTTATTTTGTGCTATGAAACACTCTTTTTTCTTCCCCCCCAAGTTTGCTGCTGTAGACTGCAAATTTCCCCAGTGTGGGACAAATAAAGGTTATCTTATCACGCAACCAGACGACTTGTAGGACACAATAAGCCACCCAAGTTATTCAACCAAAGTACTGTGATTAAACTCTGATGTTGTATTTCAAAATAAAAGGCCTCTAAAATCTACAATTTTGACCCTTACACCAGAAATTTAAAAAAAAAGATCATTAAAAATTCAGTTTTCGTTATCCCGCACACAGACTACATCAAGGACACACTAGGCCACCCAAGGCAAAAAGAATGTGTTTGACAAGACACCAAACGCATACAGAGCAGCTTTGTATAGTGTTGGTGCTTTCCGCTTGTCACCTTGCCAATTGGCAACGTGCGTTACATGTCATCGTTGGCATCATCATTGCCGTACTAGCTGTTTGGAGGTGACTGGATGGTTGTTTACAACGCAAGACAGTCTGCTGCGGTGTTCCTTCAGACTTAGAGTCAAATTTAGCGAGTGATGGGGACCGAAGAATGATGAACGACATATCGTTTTGAGATCGAAATGGGATCGCGATCTCAGGCAACATAATTTATCATGGGCAAGGCCACTTTATTCATTTTTTTAAAGAGCTTTTACCCACCAAGCTCACCACTCAGTGGCATGCTAGTGTGGACAGGTCACATTAACATGCTCCAAGACGGTTAAAAAAAGTGTTGAGACGACGTCACACTGTCACCCAAAACTCCCGGAAGTCCTTTATTTCGTGGCTGCTTGAAAACAGTAGACGCTAACCACGCTAGTTCGACACCATGCAGCCCTCTCCTCTCGATTATTAATTTGAGGCTCCGTGGCAACAAGTAAGAAAATGTAATGAAGATGGCACCGTAGTTGGCAGCCGTCGGCAAGAGCTTTTCAAGAGCTTTGCCTTTGTTATTTTTGTTGTTTATTTTTGTCTTGTGTTTTACCATATGATGTTTGATGCCCTTCACGTGGAATCAATGTGGAGTGTTTTCAGCATTTTGGCCGCGACATTCGTCGATGGAGAAGAATCTGTGGTTGCTCATTCTCGGCAGCACGTGTGCACCAGCACTGATTTTGACTGGGACGAATGTCGGTGGTATTGGACTGTCACTGTTGGACAGCCCCGGGGTGCTTGTGTATTTTGTTCCGGTAATGGACAGCATTTGTCACAGCGCCATTTTGTTCAGCGGAGATGTCGGCGCTGTTGGGACAGTCTGCATTGATGCGGCTGGATGATCTGCTATAGCTGAGGATGAGGAGAGAGCAGCCTCAGTGTGGCGCGCGGATGCCTATTTGGAACTGTGAGTCGGTGCGAGGAATTGAAGCGGATTTACATGGGACAGGAGAAGTGAACAAATCTTTTTGTCAATGGACGCTAGAGCTTTTTTGTGCTTTCAGAGTTAGCTTGTAGCAGACATGCACATTTTGAGCATGACGTCTCTGATCCACTAGTGAAAAGACACTTTGATTCTCTCCTCCTTCTGTAATTGCTTCAAACAACAAAGCGTACCCAGGAAAAGTGGTTAAGATTGCATGACTGTCCGTGACTTATGTTACATGTGATATTAATTTGTTATTTTATGTTAACTGCTCTGTAAAGCGCTTTGTTACAGCTGCAGCCGTTGTGAAAGCGCTACATAAATAAAGATGTATTGTATTGTAGTGGCGGCCCGGTAGTCGAGTGGTTAGCACGTCGAACTCACAGTGCAGAGGTACCGGGTTCAATTCCAGCTCCGGCCTTCCTGTGCGGATTGTATGTTCTCCCCGGGCTTGCGTGGGTTTTCTCCAGGTCCTCCGGTTTCCTCCCACATTCCAAAAACATGCAGGGCAGGCTGATTGAACACTCCAGATTGTTCCTAGGTGTGAGTGTGAGCGCGGATGGTTGTTCGTCTCTGTGTGCCCTGTGTGCCCTGCTGGCAACCAGTTCAGGGTATCCCCCGCCTACTGACCGAAGAGAGCTGGGATCGGCTCCAGCACCCCTCGCAACCCTAGTGTGGATGAAGCGGTTCGGAAAACGAATGAATGTATTGTAGTGTATTGTGTAATAGAAGACACCCTTCTAGCACGTAGCGATTTCACTGAAGGCGAATGAGGAGTCGCTAAGCATGCAACACCTAAGAAGAGAGAACATGAGAAGATGGTGAACTTAATGCTAATCACTAATGTGAAACGCAGTCAGGAAAGATCAATTTTCATAAAAGTCTGGCTAGAACCGCATTAGGGAAGAAAGCAAGCGGCTATAAAGAGAGTAGTACTACAAATAAGTATCTAGTTATAAAATGGGATGACAGCTTCATTAATTAGCACACGCTTGAATACTGGAACACTCTTACGGATGATGTCAGCCATGATTTCCGGGCTAGAGAGCGCACCTGATTATAAGCCGCACCCACTACATTTTTAAAGGAAAAATGATGTTGCACACACACAAGCCGCACCTGTCTATAAGCTGCAGTTGCCCATATTGTAACATGAGATATGTGTAAAGAAAGATGGTACACAAAAAGACTGGTTTCAACGTTTGATAACTTAACCTGAACTTTTATTTGCCTGTTAACGCTGCAGCACAACGGCTGTAAAACAGCACTCACACGGCTAGTGTTAAAAAAAAAAAAAAAAAAAAAAGACCCCGTTGCCTGCCGTAACACTCGGTCAAACAGTCCTTCATTAGGCTTTCTACCATCCACGCTTTCGTGTCAACTTTCAAGACAATGTCTTTCGGGAGGTTTTCTTTTGGCATTGTTAAGCAGGTGAACAATACTATGACTGTTATAGTGAATGATGCCTCATTTAATAAATGGAGCACTATCACTTTAAAAGGAGCAGTGGATAATCTCGTGGGAAATCTCATGCGACTTGGATCACAAAGTGAAGAGAGACTAACGCTGAGCTGTGCCTATTCAGACCTGATGGATCGCCAATCGGCATTGTAACCTGGCTGATATTAAGAGTAAAATGTAGCCGTTTGGGAGTTTAAATGGTGTCGCACAGTGGGCCGTATGAACAGTGGTGAAGCAGGGGAGATTAGTTGTTTTCCACGTGTTTTGGGCACATACAACATGCAAAGTGCTCACAAGCCACTGTTGTTGTACTGTATATTGTTGTATACTTTTCTATTTGTTAGTCTCATTTGACATACCTCAGTTTTTCATTTTATTAATGCTGTACATTAGGGTGGTCCACATTTTCATGGTAAAAAAAAAAGTTTGTCGGATTCGTCGGGCCGGGTCGGAATTCTTGTCGATACTATGGTACAAGGTTCTGTGCAAAATTTCATTCCGATCTGATGATATTTTCCTGTCCCGCAAAGCGGCCAAAGTTTCCACCATAACAACTGGTCTCAATAGGGTGAACATGTGTATTTTAACCGTGCCCTGTTTGCCATGCGTGACACTGGCTGGGCTGAATGTTGCCCGAACGATCACCTCCTGACTAACTAACCATTCCATCGCTGCTCTCAGCAGCCGGAGACAAACTCAAACGCACGCCTAACACACAACGGTCACCTACTGGCGAGCTAATATCTTTCAATTGAAGTCGAGAATCGCCGGAATTCTTACTGGACGCTGAACTGAGGACGCTTTTCGACATCGAAAAAAAAAAAAAAAAAAAGAGCACGAGGATCGGCAGTTCCTGCTGGGCCAGGAGAAGCGTTGCGTATTGCGTTAGTCGTGGCTGTGCCTGCGTTCAGCATGGCCGCTGCAACTGCAAGACGCTCACGCTCAGCCACCGAAGTGTGGCTTGTTGGGCAGCCCGAAGCTCACCACGGCTCGTCGGCGCGCTCGTCACCTACGGGTGGTGAACGACTTTGCGGAGAGGGGCGTCGCCCTCATCAGCGCGTTCTGCGGCGCCATTAGATAGACAGATGGACCAGTTAACATGGACCAACAATCTCACCAGTGTTGAAGGATAACCACGGTTGCCTTTTTTGCAATACATGCGTTCCTGTCTTCCGTCTTTGAATTATTGCAAGTGTGAACTGAGCAAAACAAAATCCTTACTGTACGGGAGAAACCGTACTACCATTCAGCCCCGTAAGATTCTTTCCATAGGGGAAACTTTGGTCGCTCTGCGGGACGGG